AGTATCTTCAATTAGCGACACGAAGCCTGTCCTAGGCTGGTGCACACTCTTTCAGCAGAATCCACACAGCAAAAGATGCACAGCAGGAGAGCATATTTATAGTTTATTCAACGTTGGTCAGAACAAAGGAAAGACATGACCGTCTGCTTCAGCGTTCAAGCACAGACAGAGAAAACGAAAGCAATAGCAAACATAAACATCCTGTAACAGGAAATACGCAGACTCTGTGACTCACAGCCTGCTCCCTTTTAAGGTGGAACGGAAATATCCTAACACTGTGCCCCTGAAGGAACAGGTGCGCAGCCTGGGAGTCATTTTGGACTCACAGCTGTCCATGGAGGCGCAGATCAGTTCTGTCGCCAGGGCAGCTGTTTACCAACTCCATCTGGTACGCAGGATGAGACCCTACCTGTCCACAGACTGTCTCGCCAGGGTGGTGCATGCTCTAGTTATCTCTCGCTTGGACTACTGCAATGCGCTCTATGTGGGGCTACCTTTGAAGGTGACCTGGAAACTACAACTAATTCAGAATACGGCAGCCAAACTGGTGACTTGGAGCGGCCGCCAAGACCACATAACACCGGTCCTGAGAGACCTACATTGGCTCCCAGTACGTTTCTGAGCACAATTCAAAGTGTTGGTGCTGAGCTTTAAAGCCTAAACGGCCTCAGCCCAGTAGACCTGAAGGAGAGGAGCGTCTCCACCCCCATCGTTCTGCCCAGATGCTGAGGTCCAGCTCCGGGGGCCTTCTGGTGGTTCCCTCACTGCAAGAAGCCAAGTTACAGGGAACCAGGCAGAAGGCCTTCTCGGTAGTGGCACCCACCCTGTGGAAAGCGCTCCCACCAGATGCCAAACAGAAAAACAACTATCAGACTTTTAGAAGACATCTGAAGGCAGCCCTGTTTAGGGAAGCTTTTAATGTTTAACAGACTACTGTATTTTAATACTTTGTTGGAAGCCACCCAGAGTGGCTGGGGAAACCCAGCCAGATGGGCAGGGTATAAATAATAAATTCTATTCTATTCTATTCTATTCTATTCTATTCTATTCTATTCTATTCTATTCTATTCTATTCTTAAACCCTTCAGACTAGTTAGCTCACATGTGCCCCTCAACCACTTGAATCAGACCACCGGGCCCTGTCACAGGGGGTTGTGAAATAACCCCCTGTATTCTACATTTGTAATAAATCAATACTTTAGTGTGGCCGCACTCACACTCTGCAACTCCCTACCTGCGATCCCTTCGTAGAGGGTGGCCTTATAGTCCAGGTATTCATAGTCCTCAAATTTCTGTGATCCTTCGCACAAGACCCGGCATTCTGTATCAGCCACGTGGTAGCCCCTCAGTGCCCTCTCCAGGAACTCAATAGCCGCGTCATACTCTTCTTTGTCGTAATGCTTCACTCCCAAAAGATAGTCCTCCTGTAATACCAAAAGAACATTAAGGACATGGAAAATAGTTTAACTGTGCACTGTGTGAAAAAGGACTCCATTTGATCTGCCCTGAATCTTCCAATACTCAGATTCCTTCAACTAGGGCCAGGGCCTTTTCAGTACTGGCCCCGACTTGGTGGAACGCTCTGTCCCAAGAGACCAGGGCCCTGTGGGACTTGACATCTTTCTGCAGGGCCTGCAAGACAGAGCTGTTCCGCCTGGCCTCTGGTTTGGACTCAGTCTGACCCTTATGTTTCCCTCCCCTTATGGTTTTGATCTATGGGCTACTTTTAAAATGAGGCAGCATTTTAAATTGCATTTTAACCTGTATTTTAAATTGGGTCCCCCATTATGTTTTTACTGTAATTTTACTGGTGTTAGCCACCCTGAGCCTGGCTCCGGCCGAGGAGGGCAGGGTATGAATAAAATTTATTATTATTAAGGCTCATTGGAGTTCTAGTGTTAGAAGAGAGGGAGAAAAAACTCTATCCATTTCCTCCATGCCACACATGGTTTCATAAACCTCTATCAGATCACCCCTTCATCTACTTTTCTCTAAACCAGTGATTTTCAACCCATGTGCCATGGCACCCTGGGTCGCCTTGACTGATGGTCAGGGGTGCCAAGGGCAACGGTGTCCTCTGTCCCTCTTTCCTTCCCTCTGATGCCCTCTTGCATCTCTGCCTCCCAAAGGCTTGCACAGCTGTTTGTTGCAGCAGCCCTGGCTACAAGCTCTGCAGGTGAAGGATGCCTCTGGGGCTGGCCGTGGGGTGCTGGTTGCCAGGAGCTGAGGTGGCCTCGGAGTAAGCAAGCAAGCAAGCAGGTGAGGGAGCCCAGTTTGCCAGTCTGCCAGCCCTTGTTGTTGGGATTGGACAGACAAGTCCCAGGCCCCTGTGGGGCAGTGTGAAGAGGCACCTCTCCATGGGGCAGCTCAGAGATCAGGGGCAGCAGCTGCCCGAAGGACTCCCAAGGAGAGGGGAGAGGAGGCCGAGGGAACACTCCACAAGGGAGGGTGTTTGAAAAAGGGTGAGGGGCTGCCAGCTCTATGTGCAAGGGGTGACCTAACTGGGCACCCGAGCCCCACAAGGGTGCCGCAGGAAGAAGGTAGTTGGACAAGGGAGTTGTGGACCCCAAAAGGTTGAAAACCTCTGGCCTGAACTAAGTAGTCCCCAGTGCTGAAGCCTTTCTGCACAGGGAAGTCACTTCACCCCCTGATCAGTTTGGTTGCCTTGTCCTAAACCTTTTCCAACTCTACAATAGCCTTATTGAGGTGAGGCGACCAGAACCCTATGCAGTACAGTGGTACCTCGGGTTACATACGCTTCAGGTTACATACGCTTCAGGTTACAGACTCCACTAACCCAGAAATAGTACCTTGGATTAAGAACTTTGCTTCAGGATGAGAACAGAAATCATGCTCCGGCGGCACGGCAGCAGCGGAAGGCCCCATTAGCTAAAGTTGTGCTTCAGGTTAAGAATAGTTTCAGGTTAAGAACGGACCTCCAGAACGAATTAAGTACTTAACCCGAGGTACCACTGTATTTCAAATGTGGTCACACCATAGTTTTGTATAAAGGCGTGATGATACCGGCAGCTTCATTTTCAGCCTCTTTCCTGAAGATCCATGTCATGAAAGAATGAGCCTTAGGAGCAAGATGTCACTGACGGAGACCACCAAAGAGGGGGACCCCCAAAATGCAAGTGAGACAGTGCCAGAAGTCCAGAGAACCCACGGCTCAGTGGCAGATGGCCCATTTTCTGAGCCAAAGACCCCACTCTGCATCCTCAGAGAGGCAAGGTAGAATCTCCTTGAGATCCTTGAGACCTGCTACTGGTCAGTATTGGTCACCAGCCTCTTAGATGCAGGGCAGATTCAGAAAAAGAAAAAGAAACCCATCCATTTCTCCTCACTCCCTAGACCAAGATGATGTCCTCCACATATTTTGGACCACAGAAAGCATCCACCTTGGCCAACACAGCTGATGGGGACATCTCAGGATGTTCTTGAACCTCCAGAGAGCATTTGGTTCACCTAACTGAAACTCTTTGAGCCTCCCATGTCAACCCACCAAGATTTTGCCCAACCAGGATCCCACCAGATTTGCTCCACCTTGTTTCTGGGTGACATTTCAATGGTGGTTGTGTTTCAGATCCGTAAAGCGGCCCAATTCTGCTCTTTGGCAATGTTACCATGTGCGGTCGGGCCTCTCGGTCGATGAGGTCCACCTTCCCGCCGAGGTCCTGTAATTCTCCAGGTCTTGCTGAACCTCCATGTGCTCCGGGTTCGCCAGGAAGAAGGTGTGGGCTGCATCAGCTGCCTTGTCCAACTGGCTGAGCTGCAAAGGGAAGGAAAAGAAAGAGGCTTTGAGGCTCCTTGCAAAGTGCTCTGAGGTTTTCTACAAATAAGTAGTGCATAAATTTTATGACATAAAGAAGAAAGAACGAAAGAGCGTCTCTGCTCCACAGCAGTTCCCAGAGGGTTGGCTTATTTATTTACACGAGGCCAAAATGAAGTACAATGAAAACACCATGGGTGGGATTCAAGCAAGTTTTACTCAAAGTAGACCCAACAAGAATGAATGAGCATGACTAAAGACCCTAATGCACACTACTTTTATAGCAGTATTATAGCATTTTAACCAGTCATCATTTATTATTACAGCTGCTGCTGTTGTTGTTGTTGTTACATTTATATACAGTGGTGCCTCGCAAGACGAAATTAATTCATTCCGCGAGTTTTTTCGTCTTGCGAAGCACGGTCTTGGAAAAGTTTTGGAAAAGCTTCAAAAATCACCAAAGTCTTCAAACACCTCAAAAAAGGCTACCACACCGCGTTCTATGAGTTGCTCCTCGAAGCCAAGTCACAACTGTATTAACGGTTTTAAGAAAAAGGAAAGAAACTTGCAAGACGTTTCTGTCTTGCGAAGCAAGCCCATAGGGAAAATCGTCTTGCGAAGCAATTCAAAAAACCAAAAACCCTTTCGTCTTGCGAGTTTTCCGTCTTGCGAGGCATTCGTCTTGCAAGGTACCACTGTATTGTCCTTCCTCTGAAGATCACAGGGACCACCTGTGAGCCACATGAGCCTCAAGTGACAACAGTGGAACTAGAATTACCCGCTAGCAGACTTGAAATTTATGGCATGTTGTACACTGAAAGATAATTATATGAAAATTATATGGGATTTGACTCCTAGTAAGTTGGCAAAAATGTATAGGACAAGTTCAAATACCTGCTGGAAATGTAAAGAAAAAGAAGGGACCTTTTATCATATGTGGTGGACTTGTCTAGTAAGGAAAGCTTTCTGGGAGATGGTATATAATGAAATGGGGATAAAAAGAAGTTTAAAATAACTTTTGTTAAGAAACCAGAAGCGTTTTTATTAGGAATTACAAGTACCGACATTCCAAAGGAGCAGAAAAGACTTTTCATGTATGGAACAACAGCCACCAGGATGTTATTAGCCCAAAAGTGGAAAGAAAACAAGAAAGTCGCTACCAGAGAGGAATGGCAAACCAAGCTGTTAAACTACGCCGAAATGGCAAAACTGACTGGAAAACTCAGAAACCAAGAGGACAAAAACTTTATAAAAGAATGGGGAAAATTTAGAAGTTATTTAGGAGACCACTGTAAGCAGATGGAAACATTGGCAGAATTTTGATTTCACTTGTAGCGTAAAAATTACCACAGAGTATGGAAGAATATGCATTTCTAAATGTTCAAAACGGGAGCCTATGGGGGGGGGGGGGAGAGAGAAGTCCTGAGATTCAGAGGAATCTCTGTATATGGATAATATAGATTTGGATCTTTATAACTTTGTATTTGTAAAACCAAATGAAAATGATTTCAAAAACAAAACAGAATTACAGTGGTACCTTGGATTAAGAACTTAATTCATTCTGGAGGTCCATTTTTAATCTGAAACTGTTCTGAACCTGAAGCACCACTTTAGCTAATGGGGCTTCCCGTTGCTGCCACGCTGCCACTGTGCGACTTCTGTTCTCATCCTGAAGCAAAGTTCTTAACCCGAGGTATTATTTCTGGGTTAGCGGAGTCTGTAACCTGAAGCAGCTGTAACCTGAAACGTCTGTAACCCGAGGTACCACTGTACCCCCAAGCTGGGTGTCCCTGGACCTCCAGACACACTGCCCAGGGAGGTCACATTAGTGCTACTAACACACCGGTTTGAATTCACCCCTGGAGGTATACTCCATTGTCTCATGAGACAGACAGAGGCCAACAACTCTGTGTTGTGGTAATTCCCAGACTGGACTACTGCAATGCGCTCTACGTGGTTCTGCCCTTGAAGACGACTCAGAAGGGTCAATTGGTCCAAAATGCAACAGCCGGACCCCTGGCTGGGGTTCCATTGAGATCTCATATAACCCCCTTTTGAAAAACAGCTGCATTGGCTACCAGTTCATTTCCAGGCACATTGGTGCCCAAAGTCCTTATCCGCTCGGTCTTCTTTACCGTGGCCTTCTGACACCTGAGGTGCAAGTTTTCAGAGCCCACCTTGTTTTTATGAGTGTAAGTCTTTAAAATACACACACAACCGAAATGGTTTTTCATATTGTCTTTTAATGTTATAACCCACCCAGGACCTCACAGCAGAGGGTGGGAAATAAACAAATAAATATCATAATAAGGATGTCCTGATGGGAAGGGGCAATGCCAGAGTGAATGCACCAAGCGGCGCAGATTCCCTCACAACCTCTGGGCTACGGAGGTGTCTCTGAAAATGTGTTGCTTTTCGGAAACGGGAAGCAACTGCCAGAACTCATAAAACGGGCTGTTTGCTTAACTGGCAGCGAGAGGCGTCTCGCCTTGTACTGTACATGCAGTTCAGCAGAGCTCTGGGAAAACAGTGGATTAAAAAAACAGGGGTACACATCCCAACGTTGGGCTCGAACTCACAACCTGAGATGAAGGGCCCTGATTCTGCACCAGATCATCTGCTTTGCATGCAAACGGCATAGCTGTCAAGCGCCCCTTATTTGGAGGGACAGTCCCTTATCCCAGCGCCATGTCCCGCTGCTGTCCCTTATTGATGGATGTCCCTTAAATTTCCCAGGTTTTAAAGGAAGCAGCTCCTCTTCCTCCCTCCCTGCCGGCCAGGGAGGAGGGAGGCTCCAGCCGTGTTGCTTGGCTGCCCGGCCTGCCCCCCTCCGGCCTCCTCTCACCAGCCTCGGCCCCCGGGAGCCCCTCCCTGCCGGGACTGGTGGGAGCCTCAGGCCCTTCTGCCGCCATCCTCCTTGCGGCCGCCAAACTGAGCGTCTCTGCCTGGGGCCTCCCCTTTGCCCACCGCTCCCACTAGGCCGTACTGCGGCTGTGCCACCAAAGGACCCGGATGAGATGGGCAGCCTGGCATGGCCTATGAATTGCTGAGGAGCCTTGAGAGGAGAGTGAGGGCAACCATAGAGAAAGCAGTTCAGAGAGAGGAGGAAGAGGAGAAGGCGGAGGCGCGGGCAAGTGTTCTAAGGGCTACAAGGGAAGGACCGCAAGCGCTTCTCCCATAGATTTGTAGTGGTAGACTAGCATAGATGGTCTGATCTGCGGGTTTACTTTGGGCACTATTCCCCCCCCTCTTCCTCCCGCCCCGCCTGATGGAACTGAGAGCTGCAGATGGAGCACGAGAGAAAAGATACAGAACTGCAGCAGCATCTTCGTAGCTTGGACTTCATTTTGCGTGAAAAGTGGTTGCTGCTTGTAGTTATTTAATTGCAGTGTTTCATCGGCTGGTGTCTTGAGCAGCAACCTCTGGAAACGAAGGGCTAAAAACCGGCACTGCTCTCCAAAATTATCTGGTCCCTTTTAACTTCGTATTTCAGCTGGTTGACTAAAATCCCTTATTTTGGCTGCTGGTCCCTTATTTTCAAATATGTAAGTTGACAGCTATGGCAAACGGTCCTTCTGATTTCAGTCCCAGGCATTTCATGAGCCCTTGTCCCAAACCCTGAAAGGCTGCTGCCAGCAGAGTGGACAGAACTGAGTTAGATGGGCCAATGGGTCCAACTCCGTACAAGGCAGCTTCCTGTGTTCCGCAACCTCTTGAAACTTGGAGAAAGCCGGAGGTTTTTCTGCAGCAGCACTTAAGAAGGAATGTGGCCGTCGCTGGCAGCGAGATCTGCTAAGAGCACCCTGGTGGTTATCAATTACGCACTTGCTTCCCTTCCTCGCTTGCAGTGCGAACTTCGTGTTCTGCGCTGAGCACGTCCAGGCAGGGCTCTGCGAGGCCAGGAAAGAACCAACCCAGAGCTGAGCACAGCTGCCCCACCTTGTACCTCCAGGGCGCGAACGTGCCATTTCTCCCTCCCGCTCAAAAACCTCAGCCCCTTTTCTTGACTCGCCTGAGTGCTTGGCATTTTTGGAGACCGCTTCAAACAACGATTTAAGACTTCTCATCGTGGAAAGCATGGGACACAGGTGGCGCTGTGGGTTAAACCACAGAGCCTAGGACTTGCTGATCAGAAGGTTGGCGGTTCAAATCCCCGTGACGGGGTGAGCTCCCGTTGCTCGGTCCCTGCTCCTGCCAACCTAGCAGTTCAAAAGGACGTCCAAGTGCAAGTATCAGTGTTTCCCAACCGGTGTTCCGCGGCACACTAGTGTGCCGCGAGACGTTGCCTGGTGTGCCGTGAGATGTTGCCTGGAGGGAGGCGGGCGAGTCGGGCGGCGAGAGGCGGGGCGGCGGCGGCGAGGAGAGGAGAGGCCGCCCAGCGCGGGGCTCTCGCCGTCTGCCTGCCTGGCTGCCTGCGTGGCGCTGACGTCATGGGGCTGTAACGTGCCCCACATAGGCACACGCGGGGCGGCGAGCGAGCTCCCTCCCACATCCCATCGCCGCTCGCTTCGGCCGGCCTACTGGGCTGTCGCAGGCGGAAGGCCTGCGCATGCGCGAGGTTTTTGCGCCTTCGGGATTCCCTTCACGCCTTCCTCCTCCCGGGTCCTTGAGAGCGCGGGAAGCGGCAGTGCGAGACCGGCGTTGAGCCTGGTAGGTATTGCGCTTGCCAAGGCAGTCATTTGGGAAATGAAAACTTGCAAAGCAAGCAACCAGTTCAATCTGAAGTACGTGTATGCTTAATATCCTGTATCTGAAACCTGTTCTGCCCCCTCCCCCACACTTGGTGCCATTTTCATCTACACATGCAGCAGAGTAGGTTGACCCAGAATAGTACCAATTCAGATGGCAGATGGGAGAATGACAGTGCTGAATGCTTTCCCATGTAGAACAGTCCCTGCAAATAAAAACCTAGCATATTTGGAAGAGGGATGCTAGCCTAACCATTACCTTCTATGCTGTTACTATTTTTTTATTTTTTTTTACATAAGTAAAAAGTGACCTTTCCCCATCTGGCATGGTGGTGTGCCTCGAGATTTTTTCATGAAACAAGTGTGCCTTTGCCCAAAAAAGGTTGGGAAACACTGAACTAGAGCATGCACCACTCTGGCGAGACAGTCCGCTGGCAGATAGGGTCTCAGGCTGTGTACCAGATGGAGTTGGTAGACAGCTGCCCTGGATACAGAATTGACCTGCGCCTCCATGGACAGCTGTGAGTCCAAAATGACGCCCAGGCTGCGCACCTGGTCCTTCAGGGGCACAGTTACCCTATTCAGAACCAGGGAGTCCTCCACACCAGCCTGCCCCCTGTCCCCCCAAAACAGTACTTCTGTCTTGTCAGGATTCTACTTCAATCCTTCAAATGTTGGCTACAGCTTGTGGTTAGTGAGAAGAGATTTTAGCCAAAAGCCCATGTTCAGATAACACAGTAAGCCAAATCTTAGCTGAACTCAGCACGGTGCAAGAGGAGGAAAAAGGAACAAAGCAACTCCTGTCTCTATTCTGTATGTTTGCATGTCACTCTTGCAGGTGTTGCTGGACTGCCATCCATTCCAGAGCTTCCTCTTCCCACCCCAGGCAACTACTAAGCTTGCTTTTCACCAGCCCTTATGAAGACACCCCCCTTTTTCATGTCCCTGCTTTTATCTTCAACCGTATTTTCCATGCCTCCTACTCCCTCTTTGTTTGCAGTCCCCTTTTGTTCCTATTGTCACCTCCATTCCTTTTCCTTCAGCCTTCTCCATATTCTTCTCAACTCCCCACTGCACACAGATCACCCCAATTTCCATGCTGCCTCTTTTCTACTTTATGCACTTACTTCACGGTGATATGCATTACTGTATCTTTAAGATGAATGGGCTCTTAAGAGCAAACCTGTTCAGTTCAGTTGATAGATAGAGAATCATAGAATCATAGAATCATAAGAGTTGGAAGAGACCACAAGGGCCATCGAGTCCAACCCCCTGCCAAGCAGGAAACACCATCAGAGCCTGTTCATATATTGTTCATATATGGGTCTTGGCTTATAAATACATACAAGAGCATGAGAAAGTTGGCAATACTCCTGCACTTTTTGAGACCTTTAAAAAACAAAAGGCTGGAAATGCCATGAAAACATTGCAGGCTCCATCCTTCAGCTCCTAAGTAGCTGCGCTGCCGAGACAGTTCAGTAGCTTTTCCTAAAACAGTTTTTAAAGGGGTGAGACTGAACAGCTGCTGGAGATAAGAATGGGGGGAAATGTTCGAAGAAACTCTGAGGGGGGGGAGAGGGAGGAAGAGGGAGAGAGAGGGAGAATTTAGGATTTCATCAGCCCTCGATAAACTGAAACTGAGCCCTGGCTGCAGAATGAGCAGTTGGCAACAGCACTCGAATAATGGTGATTCTGTCACCATTTGAAGGGAGCAGCAGAAAATATAGTTTCAGGTGGGACATTTTTGATAGGAAAAAAGTTTTAGAGGGGAGAGAACAGTATGTTATTATTCCTCCCCAAGGTTCAATAAATGACAACTGCAGATGTAGCTTTGGCTGGTTGGGGGGAGATTTCTACTGCTCACAGCATGCAGACACTATAAAGAGGAGCTTGTTGTTCTAAGGCTGTCTATAGAACTTACTTGGCAGTTCTTCCCTGAGGAACCAGAATGTCCCAGGATAACATCTAGCTTGCTGTTTCCTACTTGTTTTCTTTAAGTTCCTGTCATCTGCAATAAATAATGTTCTGTATCCTTTATCATGCTGTTGCCAAAGCAAACACTACATACTCACCAGTGCACTGTAGTGGACTATTTAGTTCTGGGTAGTATTTGTGCTACAAGTTGTGACAGCATTGATTTGACTGGTTTTGCTGGCACAAAAGACTAATTATGCACATTGCAAGAGAGTCTATCTCAAGTATCCATGTGTGGAAATAACTGCTCGCCCATCTGGCGGTGGGCGCCATTTGCAGACCAGTGCGCAGCACCCATGATCTCCCTGGAGACAAGCTAGTCTGCCGCACCTGGCCTGCCTTCCCAGCGCCATGGACCGTTGGGGTTCCCACCTAACCCCTATTAAAACTGGCCAATCTGCAGTGCTGCTGGGGCCAGGGCCAGGTGAGCGAACCATGAGTGAGAAGGCTTCACTCCAGTCCACTCTGGGGTTTATAAGGAGGGCAGAGCCAGTGCTGGACGCGCAGTTGGCCCAGAGCTGACATGCATGTGCCTGGGGGGAGTTGTGAAATGTTTATTTGTATGATCTAGTTGAGATTCCTGTATTGCAGGGGCTTGGACCTCCAAATCTACAATTGCTATATTTCATATTGGTTTTTAAATTTCCTTGAGTTTCCTTGAGTTTCAAAAGGGTTGTGCTGTTAAATAAATTGACTTCAGAATCAGTGTAACTGATTATTTATATGTGATGTTCGTAACAGAAATAAAGGCACTATTGTTTTAGAAAAAGATAGATAAATATGTCAGATCAATTCTGGAAAGGAAACTACTGACATGTTTAGTAACTAGCAGACAGTGCTCCTCCGGATCCATGTACTATGGCTTTTCTTTTAGAAATTTTAGGAACTAAAGTGGACATAATTCAGGTGACATCAGTATTAACACAGTATGTTACAACCTAGGCCTTCAACAATAGTAACAGAAGTTGGACCTCTTCAATTTGTATTTGGTGGCGTCCGGAATCTAATGAAAGTCTGACCTGGAATTCAATCTATACACAAAAAGAGGCTTTCTGACCTTCATGGATGTGTCCAAAAACATGAAGACGGGGTTGTATTCGTCTCTGGACTGTATTCAGCAGCTCAACACATCCCACTCTTTGCATTTTCTTAGGAACCCAATCTAAGAAACCTTTAGAATAAAAGATACAGTACAAAAGAAGAACAAAGAAAACAGATATTATCTGAGGAATTTTATAACCTGAATTTTAAAAATGCACAGCACTGAACCTCTCTCCCTAGTTCTTGTGACTGTGTCTTTGTGAAGAATTATCTTTGAAAGTGCATTTGAATAAAATGGAATAATCAAACTATGCAAACAAAAGGGATTAAGACTAATCTTACTGCTAACAACAAAGGTGTGTGTGGGGTGTGTGTGTGTGTGGTGTGTGTGTGTGTGTGTGTGTGTATGGTAGATATGGTTTTAAATAAATGCTAATAAATATTTGTTAACAATCTACGGTTTAATATTAAACTAAATGTATAGTTTACTAAGCTTAAGACATATCTGCTGTTTTCCTGCGTCCAAGCTATTCTTCTGCTTTGAGTCCTAGTGAAATAAATTGAATACCAGCCATTATGTTCAAACCATGGTGCCTAATAATCAAGTTCTCATGGAGTACAGGCAAACACCTAAAATGAATGGAAATGGAAATTTGATGACTTTAATGTATTGTGGTCCCCATCCGAGAAGAAAAAGAGTACCTAATCTCATGCATAGTAATACTGGAGTTTCTAATAACATTCCTGACAAGAATAAAATTATCTGAAGGTGGGGAATATTGTAGTTACTCTTTTTAATCTTCAGAATAGAAGTGCTCAATCCGCAGTATAGCGCGCCATTTTTAAAGACTCGTTGTTAGTGCTGTGGTTTCAGTAGGGTGAGAGATGTTAGGCAGTTGCCAGCTGAGGTCAGAAAATGACCTCTCATTTCCATTCTCGTTCCTATTGCCTCTTTGTGATGCTTACTATGTTAAAACAATGGCTAGAGACTGAAGAGCTACAGTGACGGAGCCTTACAGTATGGAAATAAAAACATGTGACATTCATAAGTGTAACGTTTACCAGTGCTGAAACCGCAGGAGGGGAGAGGGCTGTTGTGCTCAGACTCTGCTTGTGACTTCCCCTAGGCATCTGGCTGGGCTACTGTGAGAACAGGATGCTGGACCAGGTGAGCCTTTAGCCTGAGACCCAGCAGCCTCTTCTTAATGCTCTGGCACTTTTTCTGCCACTTTCAGCCATACGGAAGATGTTCTAACCAAAATTCTGTGCACATTACCTACAGCATGCCAAATGCTTCTGTTCCAGTTCTGTGTTTCTGCTGGGATTAGCAAAGTTTTAAAAAGTGATCTATATGGTGCTCAACATGCAAAATAATAATAATAATAATAATAATAATAATAATAATAATAATAATAATGGCATATAATCTAAAACAGGGGTGGCCAACTCTCAAGAGACTGCGATCTACTTTCAGAATTAAAAACTGGCAGTTCGGCTCAAAATTGCTGAGCTTTTTTAGGGAGGAGGAAAGCCCCGGGTTTTTAGGGTTAAAAAAACCTTTTTTTAGGGGGGAGTTCCGTTTTGGGGATAGTTTAAAGGATAGGGACAAAGGATAAAGTCACTCAGAAGAATATTGCTATGGATCAAAACAGCAGCACAGAGAAAGCTCCGTCTTCCCTTCCAGAGATCATACTACAATGGAGGGTGGGGCGAGGGTGTGTGGCAGGAGTCAGTTTAGCGACGCTAAGGAAAGGGAACCGGAGATCAACCGCGATCTACCAAAACCTCACGGTGATCTACCAGTAGATCAAAAACCTGTTGGACATCCCTGATCTAAACCATCCCTGCCTCAAATCAAAGGCAAAGTTTGCGCAAAGTGTTGCAATACGTATTACATTCTTCATGCTTCCACTTGTTGCAAGAGGGTGCACAGGGTCTTGTGCAAGTGGAAGAAACCGGTCTATTTCCTTTCACTTTTCTCATGAAATCCTCTCACACAAGGTAAAAATGCCCATTCTAGGAACATAAGAAGAGCTGTGCTGAGTCAGTCTTACAGGCCGATCTATTCCAGTATCCTGCTCTCACAGTGGCCAACCAGATGTCTGTGAGGAGCAAGCATGCAGGATCCTACCCACTTGGGATTTCCAGTAACTGGTATTCAGAGCCACACTGCCTCCGATGGTAGAGGCAGAACATCACCAGCATCACCCTTCCGCCAAGGACAAGGAAGGAAAGGAAAGTACATAATGGAAAAAGTATCTCCCATATAGAATGTCCTGAGCAGCAAACAGAGACTGAAACTCAAACCACGGCTGGTCCAGTGGTTGGAAATAGTTAATTATAAATAAGCCTGTCTGTAAAGACAAAAAGTATTTCCACTTCAAAAACTTTGCAAACTAAAATCCATGAAATTAACTTCTCCATTAAATTAAGCATTATTTATGTTGAACATGTTTCTGTTTGCATGCAATATCAGCCTTCTGAAGCTTTCCCATATGTTTGGCAGCTTATTATGTACACCTGACTACACAAACTAAGAATAATTGATTACACCTAGCTAACAATTAGAGATTGCTTTAGATTCCCCCTTCCTCCCCTATGCTTGGTTACTTGAAAACAGGATCTGTAACTGGCAGGAAAGTATAAATCTTTGTCACCAACAATCAAACAGGCTGTTTGATAAAGACATAAAGGAGAAATGAAAGCTTGTTTAAAAACAAAAGACAAAAGGAGTAAAAGTCCCCCTAGAGAAAAGAAAGAATTTTGAATTAGGCCAGGGATGGATGTAGAGATTTATTCATATTGTATTCTAACTTGAACCAAGGGCTCAGGATGGCCTGCTATGCACTTTAAACAATGCACTTTTACTCAAAGTAAAAATCCACTGGGTCCCAACAAGATCAAAATATTCCTGCCTAACCACCTTATTAGCAGCATAACCCCCAGGCATGTAAAACTAGTTATAAATGGATATACTTGTAGGAAGTGGTGGCAGAGAAAAGGCAAAGTGCATTTCTGTGGGCAAGTGAGCACTGTGGTTGAGGATTCTGGTATTTGAGGATTCTGATATGAACTGATCTGATCCATACCTCCCCCCAAACTAGATGGGAACTTAGTTATTTCACTGGCATTTGCACTTCCTGAATATTCTGGCAGCTTTTGTTTTTGCTCATTTTTAAAAAAACATGGATTTTGAGAGGAAAACACTTAGAAAGTCATTATTTAAAAACTTTTTTTTTTTTTACAACATTCACAGACTAAAGTGTAAGATAGATGGATGACATGGGCCAGAAATATGTTGATCTGAGCATTCTTAAGCAGTACCAAATTATCTTTAAACTCATAAGTGAAACATGCATACAAGATAATTCCAAAACTTGGTAAATCACTAAAGCTACAAAATTCATGATTCTGGGATAGCTCAATTGGTAGAACATGAAAGGGGGTTAGACTACATGTCCTCTGTGGTCCCTTCCAAATCTATGATTCAATAATTCTATGGAAGTGAAATTTCTTGATTAGGATATGCAAATCCCTCATTCCTTCTCATCAATGAACATGCCTTTAGAACCCCTGATGCAACTTTAAGCAACCAATTTCATCAAAAGATCATGGGTATTCTGGGGGGGGGAGTTATGATAAAGTTTTAAACAAGTCAAAAATCCTCACGAAGACTTTTTGCCTCCATTCCTTCCACCTAAAAAGCTACCTAGCTTGTTGGAATGAGTAACTGCCCCCCCCCAGTTACTGGGGGCATTAAAAGGGTATTTCTGATGTCAATTTTCTAGGTTTATTCCAGACGTCTATTACTGCTTCCCTAACTTCATTTGGCAACATAACTCCTGAACTTTTCCCCATATCTATTCATGATGAAGACACGATATCACTATTTGCTGTCACATTCAGTGAGACCTTCAGCACTCAATGAGTTTTCAAACCTGAATACTTCCTTACACCACTCAGGTTCGCTACAGCCATACACTCTTGCCCATTCCTTTCATACTTCCCAAGCTCTCATCTCATTCTCCAACTTTCACAATGAATAACAAAGACTACGAGGATTTTGGGTGGGCCATTTAGCTTTAATCTCTGGGGCTTTGTTAACTACAACTAAGCTTGTATCTTCACAGGTACTTCTAACATTATTTCTGGAAAGTTTTTAGCTATAAAAGAACTTTGCAGTTAACCTCTTTGGCTTAGGCTCAAAGCTGTCTGTGATTTAATGCAAGGAGCGGGATTCAAGTCAGGCAGCCTGTTGCAACGTCATCCCATGGGCCCTATAGAGAAGAAATAAGCTGTCACTGGAATTATGAAACAGACAGCCGCTACATCTTATTGGAGTCTATAATAAATCTCATGTCACAGAGCAATAACCATCTCCAATGCACTTTCTAGGGTGCCCTGCTGAAAGTCCCCAAAACTTTCAACAGTGTTGTAATATATTTTTTGCGGGGGGGGGGGTAGTAGCGAATTTTCCACTTTTTACAAAGCATATGGCACCATAACTATCAGCTCATTAAAGTACGTCAACAAGAAAAAGAGATATTAATGGAGCAACTGTTGCCATCAATAATATTTTGCAGCTAGGATAAATTATAAGCAACCTGTATCTATCAGGAAATTTAAGAAGTCCCAACAAAGATTCAGAATGGAATAATAACCCATTTCCAGAGGTCTTTCCTAACACTTAGGAGTTAGAGCATTATCTAGCTTTATACTCCATTGTTCAAAATTAGTGAGTTTAAGCATGTAGGCGAATATCTCCTATTGACGTAAGTAGGAGCTCAGTTGGTAGAGCACGAGATTTTTAATCTCAGGGTTGTGGGCTAAAGATTCCTGCATTGCATAGGGTTGGTCTTGATGACCCTTTTGGTCCCTTCCAACTCTACAGTTCCATGATATTATGATTATGATTAATATATCCCACCCATCTGACTGGGTTGCCCCAGCGACTCTGGGCAGATTCCAACAAATATAAAAACATAATAAAACACCAAACATTAAAAACTTCCCTATACAGGGCTGCCTTCAAAGGTCTTCTAAAAGTTGTGTGGTTATTGACATCTGATGGGATTCTAAAGTGCTTAACTCTGGAAGTTCATATATTATCTTGCTCACATGCATTCATTCACTAATCCTTGGAATCTTGGAAGAGAGGCTGGTATTATTGTCATCACATTGCAAATGGAGGGCTGAGTGACAGTGTCATGTCTAAGATCATACAGTGAGTTTATGGCTGAGATGCACTTGGAACTGGGAAAGTCTAGATCATAGCTCATGTTACATGAACCACTATATTACACTAGCTTTTAAATATGCAGGCAAGCTGAAGTATGGGAGGTGATTCAGTTTTTCAAGATAAACCAGTGACTCCACAGCTCATTACAAAAAGCTGGCCTTCAGTGAATGAACATCTTGTTGTGGAAAAAAAAAATGCATCCCATTCTCTGAGGAACATGAGCTGATTTTGCTGCAAATGACCTTTGGAAACCTTCCAATTCTATGATTCAAAGCAGGTTCATCAAACATGTGAAGACTTCCAGGCATAGGAATTCAAATGTTCCAATGAACATACACATTGGGAATGCAAGGTTAGCATATATTTTATGTGTGTGCTTTTGGAATGCCCATTTGCTTCCACTGAGCTCTGCATGCATCTTTGCAGTATAGCACATATTGCAGACACCGCAAAGAAACAAAATCTTGTAGCAGTACACTAGAACTTCACACTGCATAAGCAATGTGTCACTATAGTTTTCCTATTTCATTGTTATAATCTTGGTTATTTCAATCATTAAATCACTAAAGTGTCCTGTAATTATTTATTTATTATTTTATTTAATTAAATTTGTATACCAGCCTATACTCTTAGATCTGAGGGTGCTTCACAACATAAAATCCTAATACAGTGGTACCTTGGTCTACAACCATAATCCGTTCCGCAGGTCCATTTGTTAAACCAAAACAGGTTGTAACCCAAGGTGCGCTTTTGCCAATGGGGCCTCAAAAAAAAAATTTGTTCGTAATCCGCCCCCCAAAAAAGAGGGTTGTAATCCAAAAAAAGGTTGCAAACTGGGACACGCACTTCCGGGTTTGACGTGTTATATATCCAAAACGTATGCAATCAAGACGTATGCAAATCAAGGTACCACTGTATAAAAAACAGAAATGAGGACTGCAAGCATGAGTGGAATACTGTTTCACTCTAAAGCATTGCAGAATCACACCCCTTTAAACCCACACATTCTAAGTGGCAGCAGATCTACAAACTATTATTTGCAATGACACAACACAGATAAATAATGATCCGAAACATTTTCCAGTGTTTTCTTACCAAGAGGTGGTCCATGTGTTTATAAGAATATCTATTCCATCTGGAATTAGGTTCCATTTCTCTAAAAGTGCTTGGCCTCGCGGAAGATTAAAGCCCCAGCCATAAAAACCAGGTTGCCTGCCAAAAAAGGGAGAGATTTTCTTCAGTGCTATATACACGTTGGATTAGTCAGTTAAGACCAACCACAAAACATTCCGTTCAACTTTGTTCATAATGGATTACAGGTACATTATTCTGGGTTGCATGGCTTGGGGAATATTCCTCCAAGCCGTGTAAAACAAATGGAAAGGTTTGCATTGTGGTGTAGTGTGGTGTGGTTGGGTGTGGGTGTGTGTGTAGCACACATTAAGGAAAGAAGTTACTAACCAGCACCTATTTTGGTTTGTGTACTTATATATATGTGGACAGGTCAATTTCTGTTCTCTCAGTTTCTCATTCTGTCTAATCTTAAATTCAGTTCTACACATTTCCATATCAGTTTGTGAATACAGTGTTGAAGTGAGAGTAATGAAAATGCAGCTAAGAAGCTCAAATCATATACAGTGGTACCTCGGGTTAAGTACTTAATTCGTTCCGGAGGTCTGTTCTTAACCTGAAACTGTTCTTAACCTGAAGTACCACTTTAGCTAATGGAGCCTCCTGCTGCCGCTGTGCCGCCGGAGCACGATTTCTGTTCTCATCCTGAAGCAAAGTTCTTAACCTGAAGCGCTATTTCTGGGTTAGCGGAGTCTGTAAACCTGAAGCGTATGTAACCTGAAGCGTATGTAACCCGAGGTACCACTGTACCGGTATATGACTGACACCCTTCTTTGGAAATTAAACCAATGTCCAGACTTTAACATTCAAAAACCTTACTTGCAGAAACTTGTAGATGAATTAGAACATAATATTTAAATGCACATGCTTCTCTAAGCATGGCCTTACGGTCTCTTCTTCTAACTTCCAAACAAACTGTATTTTCTTCTCTTTCCAGAGCTCAGCACTCAACCTCCTGTTTCTCAATTAGGACATGCCTTGCAGATCCTATGAGAGATTTCCACTTTTACCTTCTTCTGCAGGCTTTGCTCCGTTTCTTTCAAGCAGAGAAGATGCACTCCAACACTCTATTCAACTTAGCAGTGTTCACGGCTAAATTCTAAAATACAGTAATCTTGCTTTACATAATCTCCTTCACTAGATACTTCCCATGTGACCAACTTTAGCCAAACACATGAGAACAATTCAATTACAACCAAATTTAAACACAGAGTAATCCATACAAACATTTACAATTTCAGTGTATTAAAATATTATACTGTTTTGCATTTTAGTGCAAATTTATCCTAATATACAGGGATATATGCAATTTTGCCTGTTTCACACATTATTGCAAAGCAATGTTACCTAACACATTTTTGTATGTTATTTTGATTGATATGTGCATTTTATGCACTCTGGAGCACACCACTGCAAAATTAAGAGACGCAGAAATTTTAAAGGATGGCTGTGTTTTAGTTGTGTATCATTTCAGAAAGTGAATAGATTCACCTTTACATGCAAACTGAATAAATTTTCTCCTCCCATTCCTGCTTCAGAATAACCCGTCAAACCCAATGTAGTTTACTGAAGAATAAACTGGGAATTCTAATGTGAGGTAGCCATGTTGAAAAATGAAGTAGCGCTGTCTATGCTGGATTAGTTTTTTTGTTTCTGGCTCCACCCACTGCCAGTTTGCAGACCTTGATGGATTATATCCTTGAGGCAATGCAGCCTGGAAAAACAAGGCATTGGGAGGGACTCAAGTTTTCGTATCCTACGGCATAATAGCACAATATTACGTGACAAACTGACCTTTCCCGACTTGCCTTTTCTATAGTTATTCCAGAACACATACACCCGACCCTCCTACAGCAACTCCTCAAGTAATACACAGCTAAACAGTTGCCACCCAACCTTATGAACATTAACCTGGAGATTAGGTGGTGCCGCTTGCTGTAATATCAGCCTGTTAATGAGTCAAACAACAACACAGGATGATTTGGTCCCTCACAGGGTCAGATTAAATGTGTGCTAAATCAAAACATATTTTACTGCTATTACGTAAAATATATTTAGCAATATAGAAGAGTATGATCCTTGCCAATATTAAAGCTGTACTGGAAACAATAATGTGTATTAATTTACACAACTCTGTCCACAGCTTAAATGTTTTTAATAAATTAATTGGCCATGCCTGCTTAGCCTGCTAAATTATCTTATTAAAACAAATATATCAGTTGATATGGTATTTAATTAAGATAGCGTTTCACCTGTAGATGGCATGTCCAACCATTTTTTAATGTCCGAAAGGCAATTGCCTAAATCGAGCTGTATATTAACAGCAATGTCAGCAGCACTGAAGTCCTATTGAAGGGAGGGGGCAGTTCTAAGAAGAATCTGATAAAAACAAAACAAAAAAAAAACTAAATCTCTGGTTTCCAAAATTTGAAATTAACAACTAATCTTTCCAATTACTCAATTACTAGTATATAACATTT